AACACACCAATCCTTTCTATACTTTAATGGCTACAGTGAAGTAGGGAATTAAATGAATAGGAGAAGTTGAGCCAGTTTACTGAGGAAGAAAATAGAAATATGTATACAAGCGATGATTGTACAAAGGCGTAGCTATCACACAAGGCAGTAATTATATGTGGTTCTTTTTGTTTTCATAAAGTTTGTTGCATGGACAATGAATTCATTTAGCTGTAATAGATTCTGTGGTGATGATGTAAAGGTAAAATGCAGTGAATCACTGGATTCACCACTGCACTGCACCTTGTGTAGTCAGTTAAACCTGTGCAAAATGGGCATAAAGTGAGTGGAGGAATCTGATTTGAAGCATTTTATTCCCACTTTGCATGAGAGTAAATAATTACACAAAGTGCAGGGCAGCACAGGCTCAGGACTATGATTTCTAATGTCCAGATCACCCTGTCCTGTGAAGAAACCTGACCAGATGGGTTTAAGGGAAGGTTTGGACTCTGTGAGGTTTATGTGGTGGGAAGGGTTAGGAGGCTGCAGATTTTAGAGACTGCAGTCCCTCTGAACCCTATACATTTGTGCGATATATTGTGGAATGGTCTCCCCCTCCCACACAGAGGCAGGAAACATCTTGGATGGATCTCCCTTCCCACCAGGCATCATGGCTCCTCAGAGCCTACCTTTATTTATATGTTAACTAAATGTATTGATTTCTTCTGTCTTAAAGCTGTTAAAAATTAGAAGAGCAAAGTTCTATTTGATAATTTTCTGGGCTTCACAACTTTGTTTTTTATGGGTTTGTAGTAAGAAAATAATGAAATAGAAAGGGTATGTGATTTGTCTGACAAGAGGAATTCCTGAGAGCTACCAACACAAGACTAATTGCAAAATAATTGTCATGAATTATTTTTAGAAGAACTAAATTGTTTACCGCAGGAATATCTATCTTCTGTTTGACACTGGCAAGTTTCCATCTCTGCTTGCAATATGGCCTTTCTGTTGTGCCACGCAAGCTTTGCTGTCATTAGAGAGATGCTAATCTTTATCACAGTTAAAGCTCTATTCTGCAATAACCCTTGGAAGGTAAGTACTGTGTATAGAGTCTGTCTCATCTTCAGTTTGGAAGACCTGACATGCTTATCAACACAACTCAAGCATTCTCTGATCAGTCATAACAAAGCAATACTTGGAAAAGATTTTAAAGAGAAAATAGGCCAGATCCTCAGGTGCAGTGCAGTGCAGCTGGTTTCTGTCTCATCATGGGTGGACTTTGGCTGTAAGCCCAGTCTAAACAATTGAGGGAGGAGTGCCACACAGCAAGGGGGAGTCTTCACTGCTATGTGGGACTTTTATGCCATACTCCCTCCTTCCTGCTAACATAGCAGGGGAGAGTGGGCACGGGCAGGATATCCCTGTGCCACAACAGTTACAGGCTGTGTTTTCTGCTTTTTGTGGCTGTTAGTCACAACCTACCCTGAGGCTTAAATCCTGTTCTCTTGAAGCTCTAAGTGCATGGCTAGCCAGGAGATCTGCTGGGTCAGTACTTCTCCCAGGGACCGCTGTTACTGAGGCTTCTATGAAATTCACAACTCCAGGAGAAGTCAATCAGAGTTTCTGGTCATTTAGGACCTCTGGAAAATTGGGTCTTAAGTGTGTCAGAGACATTGCTCTTTGTCCAATTGATAATATATGACACTTGCCAGCAATGCTGATGTGTTTCACAAAATGTTTTGGGGACATCAAAAACATTCATATAAAGAGAGTTTTCAAATGATTAGGGGAGTTGATGGGAAAGTGACTCACATTATAGGACATAACTGGGATTTTCGTAAGATATGAGTGATAGATAAAAGGAAGCTCAGATACATAGGGGCCCAACTGTTTCAGCCCAGGGGATGTCTCTGTGATTCAGCTGAAGAGTTTCAGTTAAACATCTGACTAAATCAGGTTGAGTTGAGAAGATTTGAACGTTAAGTGAGGCCACATTCAAGGTTAAGTGGCCAAAGAGTAAATGTACATAAGTTGTTGTCTTGGTGATGGAGGTGAGGAAGGCTGTGGAAAAGGAGAGATCAGCCTGGAAGAATTCCCTTCCCCTTGTGAAAACCACTTCTGCATGTAGAGGGCATGACTTGGTTATGTCATTCAAGTTAGCAGGGTCTGATACTATTTACCTCAGAGTACTGAAGGAGTTAGCTGAAGACATCTCGGAGCCACTGGCAATAATATGTGCAAACTCCTGAATGACAGGACAGGTCCTGGAAGTCTGCAGAAGGGCTAATGTAGTGCCCATCTTTAAAAAGTGGGGGGGAATGCTGGGGAACTATAGACCAGTCAGCCTGACCTTGATACCTGGGAAGCTATTAGAGCAGTGTATAAAACGTTCAATTTGCAAATACCTGGAGGATGAAGGGATAATCAATCACTAAAAGCAGCATGGATTTATTAAGAACAAATCATGCCAAACCAGATTGATTTCCTTCTTTGACATGATAACTGGTTTGGTGGGTAGCAGGAATGTGGTGGATATAATATACCTGGACTTCAACAAAGCTTTTGACACCATCCCACATGACATTCTAATAAGTAAGATGGAGAAATGCGGGCTCGATAGAACTACCATTAAAAGGATACATAATTGGTTAAACAACTGCAAACAAAGAGTAACTATTAATGGAATGATGTCAGATTGGAGGGAGGTCTTAAGTGGGGTTTCACAGGGATGTGTTCTGGGTCCAGTGTTGTTTAACATCTTTGTTAATGACCAGGATATAGGAATAGAGAACAAACTGATCAAATTTTCAAATGATACAAAGGTAGGCAGGGTTGCCAACACTTTGGAGGATCGAGCTAAAATTCAGAGGGATCTTGATAAATTGGAGAACTGTGCTACTGACAACAAAATGAAATTCAGCAAAGACAAATGTAAGGTGCTACGCTTAAGGAAGAAAAACTAAATGCACAGACACAGAATGGGAGAAAACTGGCTTGGCAGCAGCACTTCTGAGAAGGATCTGGGAGTTGTGGTGGATCACAGCCTCAAAATGAGTCAGCAATGCGATGCTGTTGCAAAAACAAATGCAAGTTTAGGTGGCATTAACAGAGGCATAGCATGCAAGTTACAAGAGGTGATATTTCTACTTGGCGTTGTTTAGGCCTCAGCTGGAGTACTGTGTCAAATTTTGGTCACCAATGTATAGAAAGGATGTAGAGAAACTAGAAAGGATCCAGAGGCGAGCAACAAAGATGATCAAAGGGATAGAATGCGAGCCATATGAGCAAAGGCTGAAAGAACTGAGTATGTTGAGTTTGGAAGAGAGGAGATTAAGGGGGGATATGATAGCAGTCTTCAGACACTTGAAAGGTTGCCACAAAAAAAGATGGAGAAAAGTTGTTCTCTCTTGCCACAGCAGGCAGGACAAGAGGCAATGGCTTCAAATTACAGCATAGCAGATTTAGATTAATTCTGAGGAAAAACTTCCTAACTGTAAGAACAGTAGGACAATGGAACAGATGCCTTGGGAGGTCGTGGAAGCTCCTTCACTGGAGATTTTTAAAAGGAGGCTGGATAGCCATCTGCCTTGGCTGGTTTAGACACAACAAATCCTGCATCTTGGCCAGGGGTCCCATCTAACACTATGATTCTATGATTTCTAGTCAGGAATGACTTATATCCTGCCCAGTAAAAAACTGAACCCAGGACTGTTGGATTTCTCTCTCACACTTTCTCCATCCTTCAGGGCTCTGTGCTATTTTTTGGAAATATTGGATGTGTGAAAAAAGATGGCAGAGGCTACTATTTATGATAACATATAGAGAAGACATGGAATCATGAAGGACTGGTGGATTACTTTCAATTGACAATAACTTTCTTCTTTTAAACTCAGGCTAGAAAACTGTTAAGTTAGTGTGCTATCTATTGTAAGCCTGGTCAATGGGAATGCTTCAGTCGCTTCTTTTAAAGAATTAATGCAGGCAGTGTACTACTTCTCAGCATTAATTTATTACCCGGGAACCAAAAGCAATTGCCTTCAAAAAGTTGTGAGAAGCACGCACGCTTCTCAGACTCTCATGGCAATAAAAACAGGTAGTGACACTTGAATGAGAGGGGAAAGTAAAGTGTAGCACGTTGCAGAACTTAATTATGTGGGAACACAACAAGCTATGAAATATGACATATGAAACATAACCATCTGCTTTCCTTATGCGAGACAACATTTTCCTATTGCCAGAATATGTGAAAGGCCAAATATATATTTATGCAATTTATTTCCCCAATAAAATATCCTCTGCCTGCCACCTGAACATCACATTTCCCCTTTAAAAATATCTACATTGTTTGTAAGGAATGTAACTCCGAAACCTTGCATTTTTGAAGCAACAAATGGGCAACTTAACACTAGCCTTAAGGGGAAATTATTTCCATCATGGGGTAATTCTAGTTAGTTTTATGACAAGTTTTGTTTTGGGAGGGAATATGCAGTGAATGAAAAATTGCAACCAACTGACTACATCTCAACAGCAGCTTTCAAGGGCACTAGAGTAAAGGATAGGAACAAAACAGAACTGAATAGAAATGACATCACCACTCTATTGGTGTTCATGTTTGATATAGTTTGATACATCAGGCTTGCATAAATCAGCAAAGTACAAATAAAGTATTCAGTTATAACTGAGAATGCAGGCACACTGATTTGTCTGTACCTCTTACTGCATTTGCAATTAAACTCTGCCTTTTTAATAAATAATCGTCAGGTACATTATGAAGAAATGCAGGGAAATTCAGACTCACCACATATGCATTCAGATTATTGTATTATGCCATGTAGTGTGAAATGCATTTTCAATAGGAAAATTGACATAAGGAAACATTCCTGGAATAAGACATATACTTTGTACAGCATTAGATCCTGCACACACACAATCAGTTTCTTCAACAGTGAAAATATTTGTGGCTGGCTATATAATTAAATCATCTGTCCCTGTACCACACTGATTTCATTTCTCTGCAATAGGGCCCTAAAGGAGATGCAGCATTCTCCCCAGGACAAGCAAAACGTGGAGAAAAGGTAACTGCTTCATAATTACAGAGAAATGTTCGCCACATTTTTTTTGTTGAAGTTTGCTTATGTCATCTGTATTGTTGGGTTTAATTATCTTTTAAGTCTAGTGCTATGTAAGTTTCAATTTCTGTTTTCCCATTATTGTTTGTCTCAGAATGGCTGATGTCTATATGGGTGGCTGGATTTTAGTGTTCTGAGATAAAATAAGCCTCCGGCAACAGTTATGAACCAAAGACAGACATAAAATAACAACACTTAATGGTTCATCTGTAGTTAAATTTTAAATTCTGTATTTCATTTCAGATTTAAGAAACAAAAATTAAAAAGTAAAACTCTATTGGAAGCATTAAATTAAATTCAGTTTGTTAGGACCGATAAATGTGGTACAGTTAAACTGTTGTTTATGTTAACTCCGTCACATCAGCAACAAAATATGAGTATTGAAACCTTATAACATCTTATATCGGTACACAAAGCTAAGTGTGACAATGGTTAAAGGAATATTTTCAACTTAAAAATCACATCTCTACCTGAACTTATTTTACCTTCTGTTATTGCAAAGGATACTTCGTGTTAGAGTAACTGAAACTTTAGAAATAAGCCTTTGTGACCGGAATCCCAGGGGAGCCAGCTGAAGTCACTCAGTTAGGATGAACTGCAAAGAATGAGGCAGACAATCCCCAAAGCTGGTGGACATTCCAATGCTTAGATTTACCAAGCCAGCACAAAACCTTCTCTAATACCTTACTGCTTACCCAGAAGTCAACAACACAGTTCCCTTTAAGTAACCCAGCCTCAGGCCTCCACCTAGACACCCAAGCCAGATATGATGAGGATTAGTGAAAATCTTATTCATCACATAAGAAAGTTCTTCCAATCCCAAAGGATCGGACATATTACCTCCCAGGTTAATGAATATTCCAGATCTTACCCAAATACACACTTGCCGCCAATTCCTATTAACTAAACTAAAATGTATTAAAAAAGAAAAAAGAGTGAGTATAGGTTAAAAGATCAGTATACATACAGACATGAGTTCAATTCTTGAGGTTCAGATTCATAGCAGAGATGGTGAGCTTGTAGATGCAAGGAGTTCTTTTCAAAATAGTTCATAGATTATAGTCCAATGTTTGTATTCAGGGCAGTCCAATCAGAACTGGGATTTCAGTCCTTGTGGCTTCAGCTTCCCCTGCATGAAGCATCAAGCAGATCTGAGATGTCAGGATCCAAGCCATTTTTTATACAGTTTCAGGCCTTCTTTGACAGTTTGGAGTCCCTTGGCGAACAATAGACACTCATTTCCTAAGCATCGCCGGTAATTATTCACACTGATCAACATAAAGCAATTGCCTGTTTTTCCACCTTTCGCTGGTGATTTGCTGTACATTTCAAAGAGAAATGAATACAGTGATATCCCATGTTTATAATTATTTAAATATTAAGATGTTCTTTTGATCTCTGAATTAACACAATACAGCATAGACAGGGACTGTTTGATTACGTTGTTGACCACTACCAATATATATGTAAATACACAAAAATACAAATATTATCTCCCCATATGTTTTTAAGGGTTGAATTTGAGTCATTTATCCTGTAGGATGCTTAACCCTTTCTGGTTTCAGAGTAACAGCCGTGTTAGTCTGAATTTGCAAAAAGAAAAGGAGTACTTGTGGCACCTTAGAGACTAACCAATTTCTTTGAGCATAAGCTTTCATGAGCTACAGCTCACTTCATCAGATGCATCCGGTGAAGTGAGCTGTAGGTCACGAAAGCTTATGCTCGAATAAATTGTTTAGTCTCTAAGGTGCCACAAGTACTCCTTTTCTTTTTGTAACCCTTTCTGGTCATGCATCACAGCCTTTTCCCTGTTTTTCAAAATTTGACAGCCCTCTGTGTATCCGTTTCCCTCTTTCCCATGTCTAGTCAGTTAGGCCTTGATTCCATAGACACTTTAGCACATGTTTAACTTAAAGCACATGAGTTAGGCTCATTTAATTCAGTGGGATTACTCATGTATTTAAAGCTGAGCACATGTATAAATCTTTGTAGTGTTAGGGGATCAGGGGCTTAGTTAGCAGATTTCCCCTTTTGTTTAAGTGAGTCTTTCACACCGTAGCAGGAGAGGAAAAATATTTTAAAAAGGAAAATATGATTCTAAACATACAAACTTGTGGTGGAGGGGTCCCGGGAGTAGGTATAGTCCCTGAAATGATCTTTAACTTATTTTTTAAAACTTACGAGATTTCAATTTGATGCTGTCTCTTTATAGTATTTTGATGAATTTGCACACAGGCACATTGTCCTGTTTAACACTCACCAATGTTATTGTCTTCTCTCCAAAAAAATGCTAAAACATTCTGTACTTGAAAACAAAGAGCCTGATTCTGATCTCACTTACGCTGGTGTAAATCAGAAGTGACTCTATTTAAATCAGTAGCTACCCTCGTGTACGGCAGGTTTAAGTGACAGAAGAATCAGGTTTCAGAGCAGTAGCCATGTTAGTCTGTATCAGCAAAAAGAGCGAGGAGTATTTGTGGCACCTTAGAGACTAACAAATTTGTCAGTCTCTAAGGTGCCACAAGTACTCCTCATTCTTTTTAGAAGGATCAGATGCAGAGCAAAGCTCTGCTTTGAAAAAAGACTGTAAAAATGACACCTTCTGAGTCAGCAGATCTGCTTCCTGTGCTTATTCAGGATCTTATCTGCTGACTTTAGTGAAAAAATAAGCTTTCCGCCCCTCCTCTTTCTAATCCTCTTGACCCAACACAACTTTGAGAGAATGGTCAGAATTCTATTCCAGTTCGCACAGCATAAACATAATTCTTATCTAAGCTGCAGTTGGCTTGCACAGGTGTGGCTAAGAGCAGAGTTTGGCCCAAAGAATCTTTATGACTTTGGTGATGGTGCCAAGCTAGAAAGAATCCAGCTTGACTTGTTGATTCTAGTTTGAAGCTGAAGGACTGTTAGAAAAACATGTTTTCATTTGTGAATGGAACAAACTGGTTCAAGAAGCAATCAAGAGATGATGACTGTGGACACAACTGCAGCCGTGTCCTATTAACAGTCACTTTTCAGATTTTCACTGCATATTAAGGAATTTAATTGCACTGGGAAAAAATGCAGCCACTGTTATGTAACCTTGGGGAAGCTAAGGCAGCAGAAGTCCCATCCCAGAAATACTGTGTCTTCATCACTGCTTTCGTCACAAAGGATCTTTCAGCCCTATTCTGCTATATTCATTAAGAACTCTCTTAATGCTAAGAAATCAAAGATTCTGTCCTCCACTTCACCTTAAAGTGGATTCCAAGAGTAAGCTCCTATAGTTAAATTAGTTGGTTACTTTGTCTTTCCAGAATGATTTTCAGATAAAAATACAGCATGGTTCTTTATGGAAGCTATGGCTTGGAGGTTTATGATTACAGTTTACTTTTGAATTGCACACCTACTAATTATGGCTAACGCTTTAAAACCAAAGTGCTCATATTGAGAGTTTAATTAGAATGCTTATTTCATAATGTATATTTAGAGTTCCATTTTAAAGAGCTGCCTGTCAAAGACAGAGCTAAATTCAGAAGTGAGACTACGTGTGTTTAGAGATCAATTAATTTGGTGAAATGTGTATACCTCCATTTGGTCCTTCCACTTGCATGTTACACAAATGTAGGCCTGGTCTACATTTAAAATTTAGGTCAACATAGCAATGGCATTCCAGAGTGTGAAAAATCCAAAAACCCTGAGCACCATAGCTATGCCAGCCTAAGCCCTGATGAAGATGCTGCTAGGTTGATGGAAGAATACTTCCGTCAACTTACTTACTGTTGCTCAGGGAGGTGTTCCGCAAGTGATGGAAAACCCGCTTTTGTTGCTTTAGGCTGCAACTGCACTGTGGGGTTACAGTGTCATAGCTACAGCACAGTCTAAATGTACACAGCCTACAATACCTCTGACTTTGGCCCATCGTGCTGAATGAAAAAAATTGCCAGTTCACTGTTTCCAAACAGATTTAATGACATTTACATTTAGAAAATATTTGGAATACTTCCCCCAGAAAACCTTTTTAGGTTCATTTGTTTCATTTGTTACTTGCAGGTTTGTATGGAAACTAAATGTAGCAGCCATTTTTTTTTCCAGTGCAAGAAACATGTAACATTGGGGAAATGGATCTGATATGAACAAATTGAATGTTGAGAAATAATTAAAAACTACTCACTTGGAGTGAAATTCACCTCTGGGCAAAGGCCGCACAAAGACCCATGTAACCACTTCAGTCCGACTTAAGCTGGCTAAAATGTAGATATTCTGAGATCCTGAAATAAATGTTGTTGTTGTTGAGTCTATTCCATTTTAAATGTCCAGGGATAAAGAGAATTTACTGCTTCCCAGGTGTTTAAGTCTTTTCAAATATTATAATAAAATGAAATGATTCTACCTTACTGTGTTGTACAGGGTGACCCAGGTCCAAGAGGCTTACTTGGCCCTCCTGGTATCAAAGGTCAGAAGGTAAGATTTTTTTTTTTAATTTTTGTATTCAGCTCTCGAGTGTAAGTCCACGGGAAATCCGTGGGGGGGTGGGGGGTCTGCATAATCGGGGCTCTCCAAGTTTGAGCTGCATAGTCTGTCTTTGGAAATTTCTTACCATTTGAAATTTACAATGGTCAGCTATCAAAACCCAACAGGCAGGACTGAATCTGAGCCACAGATCATATACTGCATGTGCCTCTTTTTCAGGATGGGCCCAGTCTGGAAAATAACAGATTCTCCCAAGCTGTGCAAGTTACAGAGCTCAATAACAAGCCAATCTGTGTAGGAGAAAGGTCAACCTAAACCACAAGAAGCCCCACCATCCTCTTTCCATTGCCCCACACCTACTTCAAAAGTTCCAGCTTTAATATCAGGAAGTGGATGGGAAGTCAGCAGGCAGTGTTCCCTGTTAGCCAGTAGTGGAAGCATAGCTGAAATGCACCTCCATGTCAGCCTGTTCGCCTTCCTATGTAAGCAATACTTCCAGGTTCAGTGCACACTCTGCTACTGGCAAAGACGATGGTAATGCTGAAATCTTCCCTTTCACTGCTTGTCTGATCTAGGTAGGGCCAGTATGAAACCTGTCCGAAACTCAGGAGCCTTGATCTAAGTGAGGCTATGGTACATGTACTGCTTCTGTCCATACTGTGGATAAGTATAAGACTTCGGTCCCTATGTGGTCCATCCAGAGCCTTTCCTGAGTACTAAATTAATTTAAAATGTAGTGAGCACAATGTAAATTAGAAGTTTTTTATGGTCACTCCCAAATGGTGCGCTACTCTGAAAAGCTTGCTATGTTTCTGCTCTGGTATCATGAGCTCCTTTGAGCTTCAATAAATATACTCCTGCCTGGAAGACATTGATATTTTAAATGAGTGAATCCCACTTTATTCTCAGTTTCAGGACTGGCCACCTCTTTTCTATTCATTAATTCGTTCACCGAATCATGTGTTAATTCATTCAGTGTTAGCAATGGAGCTCAGTCTTTCAGCACCACAAAATTGGATGTTTTTCAAAGATGTGTGTCAGAGCAGCTAAAACTCTTGCCTTGAAGCCAAGTGAAATAAGTTTAGATTTTGGAAGCCACCTAATATTCACATAATTATTTCTTCACTAGGAGAAATGTCAAAGTACTCTAAGAAATAAAAACCCCATACTCCATTTAAGAAACTACCCAGGCCTTAACAGTCCATTAACGTGGGGCAAACAAAGAAGTATTCAGGAAAGGGGACAAAAGGGATGCCAAGATTGTAGGAGTGGAGTGAGTTATAGGGAGAGTACATAGACATAAAGCTGGAGAAGAAGGGTGGAATGAATATATAAATTATTTTGAAAACCACAAAAATATTGTTTAATTGGGTTCAGTAATGGATAGGAAGTTAGAAGCCTTGTCTATACAGGGCCACTCAGGGAAAATTAATGTGAATTAACTAAAGATGTGAATTTAAAGTGGATTAGTTAAACTTCATTAAACCCCTGTATGGACTCTCTCATTCAGAATTAAAGTGGCCTACGTCTGATTTGGTTTAATTCACTTTTCTTGTGTTGACCAAAAGCATAAATTTACTCTTTGTAACCCAAAAAAGGAAGATGTTGCAAAATTAGTTTAAAAGCTCCTAGGAAATGTATTTCACTTGTCCACAGACTTTCTGGGATTTATCAAAATTAACCCAATTTTAAAGGTCTGACTAAAATGTTCATTTCTTATGTGGGGAAATTCCTTCCAGCAGCATCTGTTCTTATCCAAGTCAGAGATTTATCTGGTAGCCTGCTTATTATCACCAATTGTCACCAGCAGAGCTGTGGCATCTTCTGAGTCCCAAAACATATACTGCTTTACTATATTATCAGGTTCACAGTTTTGCTTGGACAAGCAAAGCAGTTTCTGCTTAATTTTCAATAAAATCATGTTAAGCTATGTCTACAATACAAGCTAGGGGTGATGGTGTTCATCTGATTATTGGCACTTTTACTCTTTGTTTCCACCTCATGTAGAGAGTAGACACTAACTGGAACCACATTTCAGAAAACTCCAGTCTGATCTAATCTTGTAAAATCACTGAGTCCATGAATTATGTTACACCTGTAAATACTAAAAAGTATTTTATGCTTGATGTTTAATGGACCTAAGTCCAAGCTTTGCAGTTTTAAGATGCTTGATCTTTCCATATCATTACCAGATATACCCAAGATTTTGAACGTGTTTTCAGACTTCAGTTGAGTTGGTAGCTTGTTTTCATTTTGGAAACTCATTCAGAGTGTGTGCAAATTGTGCAATAATCCAGTTAGGAAAACAGGGGAATCCTTGGGGGAAAAAAACAAACATTCTCTTTTGTTACTTTATATTTGATTTTGTTAAATGCTGTTGGGGAACTGCTGAGGTGTGTATAAATGAGTAACATAATTCCTTTATCACCTAACTGTAAAGAAGACAAAAAAATCCATAAATTCATTGCTTCCTAAGTCCTATTTGATTTTGGCAGCTGGCTCTGATTTTTATCTTCCTGTAGATGGATCTTCAGTAAAATGATCAGCATTTAAACTGTGACATAAGTTTTAATGTGGAGTAGCTCTTGCACTATTTCAGGTCTCCCTTTTAGGTAGAATAATACCAATTTATTTATGCCCATTTCTTGGTAAATGCCCTTTTTCTCATTGACCTTCATTGTTTTCCTGAAGGATTCGTAAGCTGACACTTTCAAAGGAGCACAGGAGATTTGAATAGTCATTTTCCCTTAATTTTAATGGTGGAATTGAATATTTCATTGGTAACATGCTGGCTGCATAATGCCTACTACTGCCCTCTCCTGGGCATAATTAGACCTGCTCAAAGTTGTGGATAAAACAATAGGATTTTTTTCATCAAAATTTGTCTGATTTGGAACTTTTGTGAAATTTTGTGCAGTACTTATGCAATAGTGTGCACTGTTACAATGATTGTGAAAATGTTGGGGTCTACATTCATATTAAATTTTTAATTTTTGAATGAAGATGGTTTGTGATTAGTCATGTGCTATTTGCTCTTGGTTTTGGTTTCCTGAATGTCGGGATTTAGCACAGATGGGGAAGAGGTTAGTAGAAATGAGAGACTGCGTTAGTAGAGTTTCCTTGAGAGATCTCTTTTAAAAATGCTGCACTATTCTATGGTAATCCTGTACGGTACCCACCATCTGTGCATGTGTGTCCTTGTCTTAATAGTTTATTGTGTTGCCATTGACTACATATTTCTACTGCCTGCAACATGTTTATTTTGCAGGGCCAATTTTTGCCCAACTACACCTTTGCAAATCCAGAGTATCTCTAATGAGGTCAGTATGACAGGTTTCAGAGTAGCAGCCGTGTTAGTCTGTATCTGCAAAAAGAAAAGGAGGACTTGTGGTACCTTAGAGACTAACCAATTTATTTGAGCATAAGCTTTCGTGAGCTACAGCTCACTTCATCGTTACTTCATGGTCTCCAAATTTATACTTGTGTGAACAAGAACAGAGTATTGTATCGTTGTCAGTCCTCTGAGGTCTGGTATGTTTGTTTGAAGCATCCATACAAAAAAGAGGAGCAGTAGCAAGAGAAAAGGAGTACTTGTGGCACCTTAGAGACTAACCAATTTATTTGAGCATAAGCTTTCGTGAGCTACAGCTCACTTCATCGTTACTTCATGGTCTCCAAATTTATACTTGTGTGAACAAGAACAGAGTATTGTATCGTTGTCAGTCCTCTGAGGTCTGGTATGTTTGTTTGAAGCATCCATACAAAAAAGAGGAGCAGTAGCAAGAGAAAAGGAGTACTTGTGGCACCTTAGAGACTAACCAATTTATTTGAGCATAAGCTTTCGTGAGCTACAGCTCACTTCATCGGATGCATACTGTGGAAATTGTAGAAGATCTTTTTATATACACAGAAAGCATGAAAAAATACCTCCTCCCACCCCACTCTCCTGCTGGTAATAGCTTATCTAAAGTGATCACTCTCCTTACAATGTGTATGATAATCAAGTTGGGCCATTTCCAGCACAAATCCAGGTTTTCTCACACACACCCCCCACACACACAAACCCACTCTCCTGCTGGTAATAGCTTATCTAAAGTGACCACTCTCCTTACAATGTTTATGATAATCAAGGTGGTCCATTTCCAGCACAAATCCAGGTTTTAACAAGAACGTCTGGGGGGGGGGGTAGGAAAAAACAAGGGGAAATAGGTTACCTTGCATAATGACTTAGCCACTCCCAGTCTCTATTCAAGCCTAAGTTAATTGTATCCAATTTGCAAATGAATTCCAATTCAACAGTTTCTCCCTGGAGTCTGGATTTGAAGTTTTTTTGTTGTAATATAGCAACTTTCATGTCTGTAATCGCGTGACCAGAGAGACTGAAGTGTTCTCCGACTGGTTTATGAATGTTATAATTCTTGACATCTGATTTGTGTCCATTTATTCTTTTATGTAGAGACTGTCATGTCTGTAATCACGTGACCAGAGAGACTGAAGTGTTCTCCGACTGGTTTATGAATGTTATATGAATGTTATATGAATTATAACATTCTGTAGAGACTACAGAATGTAACTGGACAGTCTCTATGTAAAAGAATAAATGGACACAAATCAGATGTCAAGAATTATAACATTCATAAACCAGTCGGAGAACACTTCAGTCTCTCTGGTCACGCGATTACAGACATGAAAGTTGCTATATTACAACAAAAAAACTTCAAATCCAGACTCCAGGGAGAAACTGTTGAATTGGAATTCATTTGCAAATTGGATACAATTAACATAGGCTTGAATAGAGACTGGGAGTGGCTAAGTCATTATGCAAGGTAACCTATTTCCCCTTGTTTTTTCCTACCCCCCCCCCCCAGACGTTCTTGTTAAAACCTGGATTTGTGCTGGAAATGGCCCACCTTGATTATCATAAACATTGTAAGGAGAGTGGTCACTTTAGATAAGCTATTACCAGCAGGAGAGTGGGTTTGTGTGGGGGG